TGAAGAAACAATGGGGTAGAAATCTCTAGTAGATGAAGCCCTTGAGAGAGTTTCTTTTGACTCTTCCTAGGCTTTTTAGAACTGAGAAATCAAGCTTAATTGGAATTTAAAGACATTATATGGTAGGAATGATCGATGACACTTGATAATTGAACCTGAATCAAAAGGAAAAAACAAGTCATTTATAGGAAATATTTCAGAACAGGGCACTTAGATATCTTTAAATATTTTCTCCTAACCCCTCAGCTCTTTAGATCATTATTCAGAATTCATAAATAATAGTGTAATGCCCATTTAGAAAGATATGACAAAATGTGCTTTTCCAGGGAGTTGCAAAAGCTAATGTACTTTTACATCCAAGTACTTTCCTAGAGTTAATCAAATGTTGCAAAATGCCCTTTAGTTTAATTGCATGTACAAACATACAGACAAAAAGAGAAAACAACTGATATTATTCATTATCTTTTTCTTTATTATCTTCATCATGACAGCTGTGGGCAAGAGTAGCCTGACTTCCTTGATCCTTACTAGTTTGTCTTTGTGTCTAATCTTTTAAACTCTGAACAAGTACCTTAGTGATAATAGTAATACTAATTTTATAAATCCATTTTTATTTTAAGCTAGCTAGGCAATTTCTGACAAGTAGTGTAAACACAAAAAACTGTTCTATAAACTCAGAAATAGCCACACTAATAGACTATAGTTATTGTTTACAACTTATATCAGACTTCATCTGACAAAACTCACTTTCAAAAGGCTTAAACAATCACTACAACCTCAATGAGGTACTGAAAAAAAGGTAAATTAAAAAAAAAAAAAAAAAAGAAAAGCATTTCCACTGTTGATTATTTCATAAATTCTGTCAGTCCACTCTGTATTGTATGTTCTTCACAAATTATGACTGATCCATGACATTTCTGAGACGGCCCATTGCAGTTGCAATATTATGGCTTTAAATGTAATATCGGACATCACCATGAGAAAAGAATACCCCCAGGAGTTGAGGACAGAAGGTAATACAGTGGCTCTTTCAGTGGTGTGGGAGACATGGCAAACTGCTGCATAGCTGAACAGTTCCCCTTTGTTCTCTGTTCAGCTATGGATCCGATTTCTCTGAATTGGGCTTATTACAATAAATATAGATGCACAACATGATTATTTATGGGAAGAAAACAGACAAAAGAGGTTGAGTTGCTGGTACCTAAAACCTCATTTTCTGAGCTTCTCCCCCTGAGGCCCTTTTCATTTGTTGCACCATTGTATTCTCATTGTTGCTCAATGATACAAGCCTAAGCTGTTCATCAATTTACCCACTCCCCCAATCTCTTTCTCTCTCATGTGTGCTTCCTCTCTCTTCCCATGTTAATAGTTCCCCTGAAATCCTATCACTTTGCTGGAGGATTGATGTAAGTCTCCAGCAATTAACATAATTACAAGCCTGATTATCTTCTAATTGCATTATGAGTATTTGGTTATTCACTACACAAATTAGAGAAAATTAAAGAGGAGCAAGATCCTGTGGTGTGGGCGGTATGCTTTCTAAACTGTTCTGAGCATCTGAATGCTGTGAGATAACAAGAAGGTGAAGACGTTTTATATTCCTATTGGCTCACAGTTGTTCTTGTCATTGTATAATGTTTTTTTTTCCTCTTTCAACAGTGTTTTGTGTCACTCAAAGATGAGGTCTTACTTCCTTTGTTTGGGCAAGTTTACTGATAACATACAGTAAACTAAAGTAAATGCCATATTTTTCTATATAGATTTGGTAGAGTAAAATGATAGAAATTAGAACAAAAAGCACCTAGAGGACATATGCCTCTCTACTACTGAGAAACATCAATAATTCAAATACATAATTAAGGGATACTGTGTGTGATGACAAGGGAACATAACAGTAAACAAACATCAAGAATTGCAGGTTCTTGCCTGTCTCTTCTAGTGTTTTTGAGGTTATTGCATTATTAGTTAAATAAGCAAGGATAAATTCAAATAGCAAGTAATTGCTAGAGAGCAGCTTTAAACCTGAGTAGCACTTTGATGGGGTATAACCAGTACAGAACAGAAGTCACTTTACTGGCAGCAATGCCAGCAATGAAAAGGGGTGCTTGAATGTACAGAATGAAAATTCATGGAAAAATTAAGTAACTGGATATATTGGAAAATTACATTTTTAAAAGGAAATATTTGGAGTTTGACCAAAATATGGAGAGAAAAACCCATGGCAGGGAAAGGGAGCAAAGATTTACAGAAACGATTATAGGTTCTGCTGTTGTTGAGTTGAAGACTATGACTGCTGCTGGAAAAACAGCCATCTCATGCCTCATGCAGGACTAACCACCCTGTTATACCCACAAGACAGCTAGTGAGGTAGGAGGTGGGGAGGTCTGTTCCAAGTCAACCAGCTGAACTCCCCCGAGCAGTGCTGTGAGCACCCTTTACTGCCTTCCACCTTAAGTAACTGCCAGCTCTTGTGCTTTGGGATAACTCAAGTACACATCTTGTTATGAGCCAAATCCTGCTAATATTCTTCATGGGAGTCTTTTTCATCTTACAGACATGTTTTTAATAGAAGTTAACCTGCCAATGCTCAAAACTGGTGCCCCTGAATGAATTTACAGGATACAGCAATGATCTAATATCAGTGAATATAACTTTGGCTTCTGTATTGGACCTCTCTTGCCGTCCTGGTCTCAAGATTTCCAGATAGTGCAAACGGCACTCAGCCACAAGGGAATAAATTGATGACATTTGCTTATTTCAAAAGGGTCAGCACACAGTCTTTGGTCAGGAATTTTGCCCTCTGACCTAGGAACTGCATAGTGTGGAATTCAAATGTGTGACCTCAGGTTTTGCAGCTGTAAAGTCTTTACTATGGAAACCCATTTCCATTCACATAATTTACTTACACATACCTGGTGCATTCAGATACATTCCTCTCTAGGTTTGACTGCAGAATTAGGAGCTAATGATCATAACTTTCTCAAGGAAGCAAAATGTATACTGCAAAACTCACTGCTATTTGCATGTAAAGTGTACTTTGATCTCCTTACATATGACCATATGATTTGATGTCCAGAATGTTCCCAAAGACTTCCATCAAAAAATTCACCAATAACACTCCCTGTCTGCAATACCTCCTATTGCTTGAACCGGTAGCCGCAAAACTAGAAATGTGGATCCTAAATAGGGCCACAATGCTGCAAGGAGGCCTCACCTAAACAGGCTTACTTTTGGTGCTTCCAGTATCCACTCTAAATATCCCAAAGGCATCCAAGGGCTTTATGCTCAAATTGAACTGATGATACCAAAATATAGTAGTTATCTTTTTTCCTCTTTTCAATATTGTATCCCGTATTTAGTACTGTGGTCTTAGTTGTAAAGGCTGCAACACAACAGAGTTTTTGATTTACCTCATTTCTTAGAGCAAAGTAAATTTCAAGCTGTGGATACAACTTCTGTTGAGCTCTCTAACCTCATCTCCCATTTAATACTGTTATTCACAACTGAGAAAACATGCTGCTACTTATTACAGAAGCCCAAAGAGAGTACCATTATTTTACACAAAGAAGACAAAACACACATTTTGAAACAATGGCAGCAAATCTCCTGAACTTCACAGGCAGTAGGGCCCATTCCAGGCCCCCTGCTGGACAGATAGAATTACTGCAAACTAAAGCCAGACAACACTCAGTCAAGTTATCACGGTCTCCAGAATTCAACTGGCTGTGTCGCTACATACATGTCCCAACGTTTTCCTTAAAATAAAATGAGATCTGTCCTATTTGAATTCCTCTATTCATACCTCCTTAGGACGGGCAGGAAAAGAATGCCATTTGTCCATATCCTCTAGGCCATAAAAGTTTGTCTGATTTTGTAGAGCTCTCAAGGTCCATAACTCCTGGACATTCACTGATTAAAGAAGCTGGCCATTACTAAAGCATCAATTTAAGACAAATTTAAATGGGAAAGGTGAGAACAATCTTAATTATCTATCACTCTAGCACAGTCAAAAAAAATCCCTCATCAACAGAAGAATTTTCTTAAAAACAAATGAACCATGTATACATATTTTCATTTGATGACACCAAGTGTGTGCATGAAACTATGGGAACCCATCACCATGTGCTTCATCTGATCCATCCAGACAGAAAATAAAGAGAGAAGCCATACACCATATGAGTCCTTAACAGATAATTTAAAAGTATTTTTCAAGGGGGTTTAAAATAGATTCAACATTAAATTGAATTTTTACAAGTAGGTAAAATTTCATATAATTTTTTAAAGCTATATAACTTTAATAGCTCTAGACAGTGGGTCAAATTCAGCTTTAATGTAAAACACAGTGAATTTCATGAAAAGCTTCATTGAATTTACTGGCAATTTGCCCAGTTGCCACAGAATTCAGTTTTGCACTGTCTTTCACGTTCCTCTCACTGCTTCTCATAGCTGTCATATGTACACAGTCTAGAAGTTTGCAGAAGTCCAGGACTGGTAGTGAAAGTGGATTTAAGTTTAAACTGAAGACTGGACTCCCAAGTGAAAGAATGAATTAGAAGGAAATAAATGAGGATTTTTTTTTCTTTTGCACTAGCACTTGACAGTTCCACTTTTACAAGTAGGTAAGAATTCTGAGCACCTGATTATTGACAGAAGACACAAATACTTCCTTTAAAGAAATCCTGTGCAGTACATAGATAAAATTTCCACAACACAGTGACTCTGAGACCCAAATAAATTGTCCATACGTGTTCTTTACAAGTTATGCAAGCAATTTCTAGGAGCCAATATTCATGACAGGATAGTCTAGAGACATTTCAGATTGTTTTGAAACAGAAAGCAGTACATGACTTAGTAGGCAGACTGTAATACCAAGCCACAGCTATCCTTAAATTTGAAGTGTTATCTTCCTTTTTGATGTAAAACTCCTTCACCACAGTGAAAAGCAAACAAAATATTGTTTCCCTGCTTCATTACTTTAGTAAGAAGGACTGACGACATGCTTAGCTGGCAGGAAAAATAATTTATTTCACTGTCACGTTATTTGTTCACCTGCTGCAAGGTAAATAGAAGCTAAGTCACTCTTTATTTATTTAGCTTCTGTAAGACACCCATACCGAAATAGCTGGCATTATCTATTATATACAACCACTCTACTATACTGATCACAAAAACATAAAAATACTGCAAGACTCTATATAACCAACTTCACTCTTAATAGTTAATATTTGGTGAAAACAACACACCACCTTTTAGATTTTTAAACACAATGCCTTATTTTTATTTTCTTCACTCATCACTTTTCCAATTTAAAATGTGTTTTGAAAATAACAGTCATTTAACTTAATTAATGTTCAAAACGTACTAGGAAAGTAAACGGTCCACATGTAGGAGTTTTCAGTGTCTGGGTTTTATCTGTTATCACAGATCTATTATTATTATTATTATTAGTATAATTTCTTTGTCATACCAGTACAAAAAAAATTTAACTGATAAATATATTTGAAAATGCAGTTAAGAGCCAATTCCCATGTTAATTTCTCAGAGAAATTTCCCGCTAGGGTGTGGTTGAAAGCAGAGAAAGTGAGTTGGGAATGTACAGAGATTACTATGCATTAGCGTAAAGCATATCTTTTCCTGTGAAGTGAAGAATGGTATAAGCTCCACACTCAAAATGAGAGTATAAATTTGACTCAACAAAGCAGCCTGCTTGCAGAAGCTTGCTCCACTCTCTCATTTCGTAGCACAAATAAAATGCTTTTTTACCCCGCCTCTGCAAATAGAGTCAAACATTCTAAATAAAGTAAAATCTTATATCATGGGGACAAGCAAAGAATTTATGTTTCAGGAGACTGCTTGATAGAGAAATGCTATGCAGGGTGAGAAGGTATTATGGCAAACTCATGTAAGGCCACAGAAGTGAACGTAATGAGGGTTTGGCTTCGTTTTTTTCTGTTTCATGCTGGCTTCAGCCCATGCAGCACTGAGCTCTTCGTTGTCACTGGCGGATCCGCGACTGGCTCTAACATTCAGCTGCCCACAGCACGGGCAGACCTGCCGCAGCTGGCTTAGTGGGTTTTTCCAGAAGTCTGTAAGAAGAATTGAATTCATGCTCTTGTTAGTTGTAAAAAGAAGTTGTCACTGTCTCCACAGATTACAAACACGGGCAACATTTCTCTCTCTGCCATGCGAATTCTGGTACCCATCGTTACTTTGCTTACAGTAAATAAAGAGGTTGCTTACTGTTGCAGTGTTTACCTATTGAAATATTACTCTTTCAAGAGTACATTAATATCTTTCAAATGTCCTTTTTGGTACTTTCAAATTTGTCAGAACTCTGATTTTGGAAATATGCAAAAGTTTTCTGAGAACATGAACGTCATCTCCTCCCCTTGAGTTCCCAGGTTGCTATGCTAGAACAGGTCTCAGGCTCTATCTTCCAAATGGTCATTTACATGTGTTAAAAGACAGGAGCACATTCGGTGGGGGAAACTGAAACTACCAGCAAGAGGGAGGGCATTCACCTAAATGGAAAATCCAGGTTCAAGCCTCTTATGTAAAACAGACAGAAGAACAAACTGACCTCTGTTCTCTCTTGGTTCACATACATCCACTAGCTGGTTGAGTATGCTAAGTTTTATTCAGGTTTAACCAGAAAATCATTCTTGAAACTGCAATTTTGCTGAAATTGGTATATTTCTGGGAAAAGAAAAAAGCCTTCTCATTTCAGCTAACCAACATTTTCACTGAGAGATTCTGACACAGTTCTCATGGTAAAAAGCTATTTTTAAATTTTTATTATGTTTCAGTAGTGTTATATTTATGTACAGTACATTACATTCTGTGTTTACTTAATCTCAGAAGATATAACAGCAATATATGGAACAGTTACATACAGTGGGAAGATTTTATGTATAATTTGATATAATGACCTATAATTTGATATATTGACCTATAACCCATGTTCTAAGTTTATGGAACACCAATGGAAAAATATAAAATATTATAACACTTGATCTTTGATGACATTATTACGCTAATAGATCACATTTTTTGTCTTCTGAAGAGATTTTTCCTTTCCACTGTAAAAAATCACCACCTCCCATTATTTTTTCGAGACCGTTCTATATTCTGCCAATAGCAGATACTTCACTTTACACACAATTCTGGGACCAAAAATGCAAGATATGTTCTGAGGCAGACTTGACATCATACCAGAACATACATACATGCACACTGTGAAGAAACACCAGTATCCCCAACTTTTACCTGCCACATTTGAAGGCTGGCCTTGTTCTATTTTGCATCACTGGACCAGCAGTGATGACTTGGGTCTCTGCTTTCAAGTTAAACCAAAAATGTAGAGAGCTGTCTCCAATGTTTCTGTTGGATAAGTATATAAGCTCGCTTTCAATATATTTTAAGATACATTGGATTTTAATATACTACAGTTTTGGACTTGCTGTGGTCTTTGGGGCTAATAACAGAGGACAAAAATAGACAAATTAAAGACCTAGACCAAAATATTCTGGCAGGAGGTCCTTGCTAAAGACACTAGGGACTTCAAGTGAGAATTTGATGTTTTCCTCACACCTATATTGTCTTTTCTTATCAGCAGCTGAAGATCTGGCTAGCGGTCTCCAGAGCAGTTCTCTTGGAAAACATTTACAGAAGCCACCAATGAGCTAATAAAAGCTGGTAAATAATATCCTGGCACCCACATTTTATCTCAGGACTGCAGCAGGTGGAAGTCACTGTTGTGCCATAATTTTCTCTATTTTCTGAAGAGGGCTTCTCCAGCAATCTGGGCAGAATTCAAATTTAGCATCAGGAGTTCTGAGTTGAAATTTATTTTTCTCCATTGACTGTATTCTGCTATTACCAGGTAATTTCCTATAGACCCAACAACACATCTTGCAGCAGTAATGTGCATTCTAAACCACTTCAGGCATCTTATTTATCCACATTTTGCTCATCTCCAGCATCTGGTTGGCCTGCAAGAGAAAGCCTGGGCAAAGAACTACCAAGCCCTTTAAAATGTTTCCTAAATTTGAATTATTTTAACATAAACTGCAACTTTTTTCATTTTTCTGCCATTTGTTTGTTTTCATGCTTCTTTCAGCCTCTTTTTGTGTACTTAAGCTGATTTTTATCATCTGATTTGAAGGTGTTTAGAGCTGCCAAAACCCTGCAGAAAAGGGTTATGTAACCATGGCTGATTCTTTACAGCTTGGTGAAGTAAAGCATTAATAGGTCTCACTTGTGAGATTCTGTTTTTCTGTTCCATCACTTCAGTGGACAAACTTTCTTGCTGTGATACACTTGATAGATGTTGAAAGAGATTAGATGAACTGAGGGCAGTTAGGGTGACCAGAAACAACTGCCAAGCGCACGTGGGCATATCAAAAGGACTGTGCCATAACCCATAACTTGCTATAACCTACTTGTACACTTCATGGGTTATTTTCAGAGACAAGGGGAAGTGTGTCCCAGTATAGAAATTCTTAAAAACTATGTTTAATATCCAGAAATTTCTCTTCTGTACTTTGAAATTAACCAGCAAACTTTCTGTCTTACTAATTAGGCCAACATTCTTTTAAAGGGCATCAGTTTGCTTCACTTTCAAACTTACTTATGGAGAATTACCTAGTGCAATTACTCCAGTATATCTAGATCCCTGTTCCCTATAGTTTCTTTCAAGTTATTTTGATAAATGGACATACTGACATTTCCTAACCACAGAACGTGATTTTAGAGACCATCTTTGAGATACAAGACTAAGAGTTTTCACATATGCTACAGTTCAAGAGAAAAACACTGCATGCAATTCATCTACCCTTTGGAGAATACAACCTATTGTAACTCTGGGCTACAAAAACATAATGTTATATGGAAAAACAGGTAACTAGCCCACCTGCCTCACTCTGGCAAAACACACCCTTTTAACAAGAAGAAAAAAATCAGACAACAGCCAGTGACAGTGATTTCCATGTATTCCTTCTCTTTCCTCTAAATATCAAGACATTTTTAAAACTGTATTGCTGCTTTCTTCTAGGTACTGTAGTGCTAAGAGAAACTTTAATAATATAGTTGAAAAACTAAATAAATAAAGGTGCAATGTACCCTCCACCATCATACACTCATTTTTATGCCTTTCCTCCCTCTTCAAGTCAATCTTTCATTAGACTGACTAAATTTTTTTAAGTCCATATTTTACCCAGATGTCTTTAAAGCATCTGTTTCTTCTATCCTCTCCCCAAAAATTAGGTTTGTCACTAAATATTTATCATAGGTCTATATTTTTAAAATCTACCAGCTTGCCTCATTTATCATAGTAATTTTACCACCCCTGCTGATCATCCACTTTAACTGGTCTGAAAAAGAACTGCTATAATGAAATATGTGAACATAGTGACTAAGAACTAGGCTTTATGACATGGCATAGTCACTAATTTTCTAGCAAAAATAGCATTGGAGGGTATCTTGTCTCTTTCCCATTTCATTTGAGATAACCGTGATGGTTTTGATAATACAGGACCTTAGGCTCCTTAAATGGCTGCTGGTCCATTACATTTGGAAACACTTCCTAAACAGGGTACGAAATCATATATTCATTTTTTACAGAGACAGTAATGGGGAGCAAACAATGACAGCTGAACTTAACACTACTCAACATTTAAATTTAGCCTGGAAATTTCCATCCCAAATTGAGAAAATGCCTTCTTAAAGATAAACACTGAAATACATTGAAGATGCATATTATACATTATTTTACAGTATTTTGTTATTAACCTTGTCTGACATCTAGTAAACACTTCAAAACAGGTCTTTTGGTCTCTACTTCATTGATTTTAATGAAAAAAAAAGGCCTATTCTATAAAGTACATATAGAAGGCCATATACCACAATGCAAGTAATTTGGCATACATCCATAAGTCTTGAAAGGAGAGGCACTTAGAAGTGTGAATGTGAATTGCTTTGCAATCTGCAGTGTGGTAATATAGCTGTCAACCATATTTCAAGTTGTGCAGGACTATGGATAGAAAGCATCTCTGAAAGACACGCTTTCTAAATAGCAGAGACTGAATGACTGACATCCAAACACCTTTTTTTTTCTATTGGGGTCTAAAAAGCCCTATGAAGAAGTGAAGTAAAGAAGACCACCCTTCGTAAAACATAGGGAACTTACCTAAAATGTGGTTGAAAATTGAAAAATCCCTCTACAGAGCGTGCATGCAATATTAAAGAGAGAAAGAGAAGATCAATGTACTTGCACACAGCCAGAAGTGTGAAAGTTGGAGGTTTTGGCACGGAGGGTCTGTGACTCCCTATAAGGTTTCAATTCCTCCTGAGTCTGCACCCTTGAGTTTTACTTTGGGTTATGGGGTGAAAAAAATAATATTCAAAACAAGACCCATCAAGCTACCAAGATGCTCTTTTCTTCAAGATGAAATCATTAAAAACCACTAAGTCTTGGCAGCATTTCTACCTGAAATTATCTATTTTTTAATATTCTCTGGCTATTTAGCTTCACTGGAAAGTTTACAAATTTAGGCATATCTCATCTGAGTCCTAGTTTTGTACCAGATCATGAAGACATGAAAGTCTCTACTTGCTTCTGCTTTCATTATGAAAGTTTCCTCAGCATTTATACATGGTCATCTAAATCAGAGATTAGTGGCTGAATTAATGCATTACAGTAATCTGTAATGTGTTAATTCATCTGTAATCCACCTACATTAATCCAAAAAAAAAAATGAATTTGATTTCTGTAGCACAACAACATGATTTATGTTCTTGCCCAATTGGTTATCTCACTTTCAACTACTCTTTGATGTACTACATGCTCTGAGCAAGCCATCAGATTTCTCTATGGTGCAGTTTCTTCCTATTCTGTAATATCAGGATAGCATTTACTTAGCTTTGTAAAAGTGCTTACACAATTTAGGGTGAATGACTAAAAACCAATTATTAATGTTACGTTCTAACAACTCTATGAGCCATATGTGGGAAAAAGGTATGGTATTCACAAAATAGGCATTTTAAAATGAAACAGGTTTTAAGCATTCAGATTCTGGGGTGAGGGCAG